CATGTGGGCCCCCCATGGGCCCATGTGGGATAAGCAGACCTAAGTTCGAATCCAGCCCGAATCAGAGGAGTAAAATAAATCTGGATTTGCATTTTGGGCAGGTCACCCTTCATCTTAGCCAAAAGGTTGCCCTGTCAAAGAAAAAAAGAAAAAAAAAAAAAGGAGGCTGCCCTGCCATTGCGACACGTGTCAGAAGCAGAAGCATCGGTCGTGATGGGTAAGCAAAGAGGAGGAGAGAGGGGCAAAGGTAGGTAGAAATTAGGCCCCGCTCCACTGCGCACCAAATGTGCAAAATGAGAATGAATCTGCCGCTAGAACACGGGAAGATACAACGCCATATGTTTTGTCTTTTGTGCATGTGGTGACTAGTGGAGCGAGGCCCATTAGATACCGTAACAATTAAGTGAGGTCTTTATCTTCCTACTTACAGGCTGCATGAATCTTCCGCTAGAACATGGGAAGATACACCGCCATTTTTTGTTTTTTGTCTTTTGTGCATATGGTAAGTACTGCGGCGAGGCCTTCGTAACTACCTAGGACGATCGGGATCTGTTGTCACATGATGCACATAGTCGGGACCTGATGACACTACGTAGGGGGCAACCTGTCGGGACCTGATGACACTACCTGTAGGGGGCAACCTGTAGGGACCTGATGACACTACGGGACAAACTGTCGGGACCTGATGACAGTACGGGACAAACTGTCGGGACCTGATGACACTACCATCTTCCCCCGAATACAACGTACAGTCATTATAGCCGTATTTAGACTGAAAGATACCCCAAATTCAGCTATAATGACCGTACGTTGTATTCGGGGGAAGACTGTAGGGGGCAACCTGTCGGGACCTGATGGCACTAGGGGGCAACCTGTCGGGACCTGATGACACTAGGGGGCAAACTGTCGGGACCTGATGACACCGACAGGCAGGCAGTGAGTTAAAAAAAAAAAAAAAAAAATCGGAAAAAAGAAAGGCAGGGTGAGTGGACCACCGCGGTCGGGACCTGATGATGACACCGGGGCGCAACCTGGCGACCGAGACAAGTTGGGACTCTGCGTGTGCGCTGAAGCCTGGGAAAAATGCTGAGCTACTGGTAGTGCACTTTTATGTTTCAAAGTTCAAAGTTCAAACTATGGTGTGGTGCCTCCCCAAAATATAAAGGGGGTTAGTTTGTTTAAAAAAAAAAAAAAAAAAAAAAAAAAAAAAATCCTCTTACGTTCCAGACTTCGATCTAACGTACTAAGCGGAGCTTGTAATCTTTCGCTTTTTCAAATATAATGCAAAATCTTTCTCTCCTATTTGAGCTTATTTCATATTTCAATCATTTTTTCAATGTAGAATTCGAAGTGTTTCGGGGAGAGAGAGAGAGAGAGACAGAGAGAGAGAGAGAGAGAGAGATGTATGTGTCACGTGTGTGCATGTGTGCATGTGTGCATGTGTGCATGTGTGCCTGTGTGTGTGTGTGTGCCCGTGTGTATGTGTGTGTATGTGTGTGCATTTGTGTGTATGTGTGTGTATGTGCGTGTGTGCATCACATTACGTAAGAGAGAGAGAGAGAGAGAGAGAGAGAGAGAGAGAGAGAGCTTGTAATCTCTTACGTTTTTTCAATCTAATGTGTATGGTTCTCTGTCTGTGCTGAGTGCTTCAGAACAGAGCTTGTAATAAATCTTTCGCTCATCAATCCAATTTATAGTTCTTTCTCTTGTAATCTTCATTTGTCGATCTAGTGTGTAATATTTCTCTTGCATTTCATTTCA